GAATTTAATATGTTATAATTGAAATGTATCATTTTACATATTTTAAATTAATAAATTGTCTTCATTATTCTAATTTTATTGAACTGAAATGTATTATATCTTATATTTTAAAATATTATAACGTAAATTGAGTTCTAATCTTATTTAACAACTCTATATTAAAGTAGACTAATTCAATAAAATCAAGTTTTCCCTAAATTTTTCTTCAAATATATAATGAATAAATAATAAAATATAAAATTCTTACTCTAACCGAGATATAAACAAGTCAATGCATAAGTTAAAATGTTTACTACGATAAGCCCTCAACTATCAGAAAAATTATTAGGTCAATGAAGCTCTTTCTCATATTTCAATTATAATATATTAAAATTATTTTTATTTTTATTTGTTCATTAAAATGATTTAAAATATAAATAAAATATTCACATATTAATTAGTTATAATATTATTAATCAATTATAATATTTGTGTATATATATCGTATTATTCAATTATTTCATGTTGGAGTTCTTATTAGGTCATTTTCGCTTTTTTAATTCCATTAACTATATATATTATGTTGTGGTAGGTTTGTCGTTTGAATGGTGTAGCCCAGTGTTTGGGGTGTTTGCTTCCTCTCCTCACGTCTTGGGTTCAAACCCTATCAGCAATGGTTATTGAGTCAATTTATTTTCTATTCATTCAATTGGCGAGAATTGACAACATTTGAATGGATGGAAAATTTATTAAATTAAATAAAAATATTAAGAAAAAATCCATGACACATGTCACCATCTGATTGAGGATTAAATTTATTGAATTAATTAAATGTTATGACCAAATTAATATAATGTGTAAGTAATGAGGACTGAATATGTAATTATACAAATTTTATTAACTGTCACGTCATCTCCTCCATTAATATTTAACGACATGTGGCTTGATTGACAAGATTTAAATAGTTAGGTGACCCGATTGATAAAATTGAAAAGTCGATGGTTAAAGTAAAAGGGGTAAATAGTTAGTTGGTCAATGATATAGTTTATCCTAGAAACTAATGCTTTATAAATATTGTATTTTAATTAAATTACATTTAGATTTTTAATTAATTTATAATTATACGTTTAATATTTTTTAATTTAATGTATTATAAATTAATTTAATGGTACTCATCGTTAACCGTGCTCATCTACACTAGACGAGCGTTATAGAATTTTTCAATTAATTAATATATTCTTAAATTAATATTAGTATATTCTTAAATTAAGGTAAATCATATTTATGACTACTTAATTTAATCAAGTTAACTATTGTTTATTTTCATTTTGACTATTGATCTTTTGATTTTATCAATTAGACCACCTAATTATTTAAATGATGTCGATTAAGTCACATGCCGCTAACTTTTAACTGAGGAGCTAACATGGGCATTAACAAAAATGATATAATTATATATTTAGTCCTTAATACTTATGATAGATAATTTCTAAACCCTACAAGTGGACTAAACAATGAAATTAATATAATCTAAAATACAACTTAATACAAATATTCTTTCGTTATTGTTTCAAACTAAGATGCAAACATTGTAGTGTTTACTTTCCTCTCAATTTCTATTTAAGAAAAAAGAATAATTACTATAGGACTGAAGCTATACACATACCATTCAACACACTACAGCAAGTTGAATTTGTTGAAAGGCAACTACATGAGCGTGTTTTTAGTATAGGTATTTCATATCGACCAGGCACGTGTTTCACGTCTTATCATCATCATCTGATTTCTGCTTATGATAGATTCACTTGGTCTAAGCAAGATGATCATCAAAAGCCAATTGACTATGAAGGTGCACCACAATCAAAAGGGTTTAATAATTCTATTCGTGATTCCGATTCTTATTACGATATTGATGAAGAATTAGTGGATGAAGCTGAGTTGCCCTATGAATAAAAGAAGAATGATAGTGAACAACTCGAAGAAAAAGAAAATAGGAGTGTTGTTGAAACATCAGCTAACTTTAACTTAAGACAAATTTTCTGATAAGATATGGGCATTTTCGGTCAATATGTACTTTTTATAGATTGGTGGACAATCAGTTACATTAGTAACGCATCTTAAAAAATTTCGATTGAATATTGGGAATTCAAGATACGACTATTTTAACAAAGACAACACAATCAGAAAATTTCTTGAGTCCAATACATGATTTTTAATTATTATTATTATTATAAATTTTTAATATTTTTACTGATTATTTATAATTAAAGTTAACATATGACTGTATTATATATGGTAGATAATTTAGGATTATATTTATTATTTATTTTATTTTAAAATTTATTTTGTTTGTTTTATTAGTCTGTCAATTTATTTAAACTGTTCTTTTATTATTTATTTATTCATTCATCACTCCTGTTTAGTTCAAGTAAGTTCCTATGTATCACACCTAAATTGATTTTAGGATTTTATTAGCTTATAAATAGATTCAGCTTATTTGTATTTTACAACATTCAGAAATTTATCAGTATTCTTTTTTTTTTTCAAAGTTTTTTTTTTGTGAATTCTTTTATTTTATTAAAAAATTTATCATGTTTTTACTTCATAGTACAAGTGTATATTTACATAGCGACGAGTCTTTGATATTTTCTCCATTGTCCAAATTACTAAGTACATGATCTTTAGATAGTTATACATCTCGATCTAAGCGCGTGTTTGTGTAAGAAATCCAATCTTAGAAAGGGATATCACCATATTTTTTAAATTTATATTTTTTTAATTATTATTCTATTATTTTGTTTTAATCATTTAATTTAATTTTCATATTCTTTTTGAAGAGAAATTCATCTTAAACTGATCGGCTACCTACATTCTAAACCCTAGCCATCAAGTAATTATAAGCTCTTCTATCTCTATTTTCCGATTTGCTTTTCTTCAATTGTTAAAAAACCTTTAACTCTTGAAATTCATAGTTTTTTAGAATATTCAAAGTTATATAAAGGTTTAATTTGATTTTTTTAATAGTTTGAGGAGGTTACACGGTAGAACTTATTCAAAATCTTTTCTAATCATTGATAACGTTTGCGCAATATGTAGACGCAGTAATCCGAACTTAAAATTTTTAAAGATAATAACATTTCGTTTAATGACCAAAGTCAATAAGTTTGATTTGTTTCTTTTTTTCCATCCAAAGGAACCTCTCACCATGTTCAAGCGAAACGACGACTCACTCACCCGGTCAAAATTGGAGGATTCATCGCAAACTTAAATGTAGAGATGGATGGATATGTCTAACTTTAGGCCACTACCCACTTTATTCTACTTTATTTAGGTCACCATCCACAACCCACAAAACAAATAAAAAAAAACCCATTAATTTTCTCAATCATTAGCTGCATACTGTCGTGAAAGCCCAAATTCATAATTAAGAATTACAAAAAGAAGTCAATTTCTTTGACATTTTTAATTGATAAATTATATTTATATCATAATTTTGTAAGTTATATTTGATCATATAAATTATAAGTATACAAATATATAGATATATATTAAATTTTAAAATAATATTATTTAGAAAGTTGAAGACAATAACTATACGTGTAGTTAAATGAAATTTTGTAATCCTTTTAAGACTTTAGTGCAACTAAAAAACTTTAATTACATTAACCGAGCGATATATATAATTTTTATATTCTCTATTTAGATGTAAATTATTTAAATATCATGTTATTTTGATGAAATCGTTCCAAATTTAATATATCTCAAACTAATTTTTTTTGTGTGTTTTAAGTCAACTTAATAATGTAAAGTTCAAGTTCAATCACCCTACGCGAAAACAAAGAAATTTCAAAAATCCAATCTTTTTAAGTCAAATAAAAAGGATTTCTGGGGATTTTTCTTTTGGGAGGGGGAAGGAAGGCCGCTGGTTGGCTGATTTGCTGATGTAGGGTTATTGATTTTTTTGGTTGAATTAGGGTATCGTCGAAATTTTTTCTCGAGATGATGTGAATACTATAGTAATCGGAGAGTCATCGAGAACACATTTCATCTTTCGGGGAAGACGCCGAGAACACAATGCATCTTCCTCGTTTTTCATGCTATTGAACAAAACTGAAGACACACTGTCTTCTTAGCGACTTTTCGAAGACGCATTGTCTTCTTAGCGACTTTTCGAAGACACTGTCTCAGCGACTTTTCAAAGACACACTATGTTCCCGACGACTTTTGAAGAGTATTGTAGTATTCATACTAGATCAAAAAATAATTCCGGTGATATCCTATTTCAACCAATAATTTTTTTCACAACACCATAAGAGCAATTCAGCCTGAATGGCCAAGTTTTCAAAATACAAAACTGAGATCTATGCCTATATCACAATATTCTCCGCCCTAAACTCTAAATCTGAAACCTAAGCCTATATCATAAGAAGAGATCCTAAACCCTACACCTAAAACATATCATGATTCTAACCTAGAACCTAGTCTTATATCACAAGAAGGCTATAAACCCTAAACCTAGAACCTAGTCCTATATCACAATACCCTAAACCTAGAACCTAATCCTATATCAAAAGAAGGTCCTAAACCCTAAACCTAAAACATGTCACAAGCCCTAAACCTAGGAAATAATCATATATCACAAGACCCTAAACCCTAAATCTGAAACATGTCACATGCCTGGAACATTTTCCTATATCACAAGAATACCGTAAACTCTTAACCTAAAACATATCGCAAGGTCATAAACCCTAAACCTCAAGAATGGCCTAAACCCTAAACCTGAACATATCATAAGGTCATAAACCCTAAACCTAAAACTTAGTCCTATATCACAAGTCCCTAAACCCTAAACCTGGAATCTAGGCCTATGTCACCAAGAAAAATATATACATCTGCAATCAAAGATGTACCGCATTGAAAACATAAATTCTGCTTATAATTCTCTGACATCAATCAGGAAAACAGGATAGAAAAACGGCTTAAAACATATCAACATCCAGAATTCATTGCAGTTTAGAAACGATATATAATCTCTATGCAAAACTCCTTATAGCCTTACACAACTACCATACATCATACTCTACAACAATCTCGAAGAGACTCGAACCAGTTCAGTTGACTTGTTCAATCAGACTGCACAACACCCTTTTGCTGCCATCATCAAAAACTGAAAACCACTACCAACAGGGCATTGGCATCTGCGTTTGTGTCGTCCATTCTGAAATTTCCATGACTTACAAGAATGTAAACACATTCTTTTTAACTTTCTAACTCCGAGGAAGCAATTTTTGTCGTTTTATCATCATCATCATCGCTGCAACCGAAAACAAAGGAAAGATTAGGGGATGGTTGAGATTAGGTTTAAAATGGTTTAGATGCGAGTACCTGATGAGCATAAATAAAACCAATTAAATTATGACTACAATTTGTTACACACAAGAAAAGGTAGTGAACAAGTACTAAAATAGAAGCATAATAAACTAAAAAGTAAAAACGACTAAAATGACTCTTTTACCGGATAACAGGGAATGGAAACATGCCCAATCGTTTTCTAATCCCTATTCGAATATATCCAAAATCACATTTCATATTTAATAACAGAGTTCCTTTTAAAGCAAACTTTTCTTCCCATCGTGGCGAATCTAAAAAACAAGATATGCAAAATCAAACCCTTAGAAACATATACTGTTGCTCTTCAAACCACACATTGCTATCCGAAAAGTGGAAAGTTTTATCAGAAGGTTTAATATGCAAAGCTGTTGCCGCTGAAACAAGTAATTAATGACAATAACCGATTAATAGAAGTGAGAAAGCAAAATGCAAAAGAATATTACCAACTACGAAGGTTTTGCTTTCCGTCCAACTTGTGACACTCGCTTTAGCACTTGGGTTTCCCTCTTCATATCTCTGCAAAATAAATAGAAGTCCTAAATATTGTTGCTGGGACTCGGTAATGCCAAAAAGGCTTTTTTGTTTTATTATTATTACCTTTGATACAAATAATAAAGAAGATAAAAAAGAGGAAGCAGCATCAGAATCAGTATTGATGTAGCCATGTAGAGTAAATTTGCTCTCTTCTGAAACAATAAAAATGAGCAATCATATTTGTTAAGCATAAATCTTCAACATTAAATAAAAGTTAAAAGGACTTCTATATCGTTTTGAAAAAATGATAATGAGAAGCTTCTAACAATGACAATCCAGAAACGTAGCATTGCACTTTTTATAGTCTCATTTAGTTGGTCTTTGACTTTTTTTTCTGGGTTTTTGTTGATATCCTAAAAGACAAGGCGGTAAATATAGGTGTCACTGTTATGCAAGCTGCAGAATGGGATTTTATTATAAAAACTGAACCCCACCCATCCATGCATAGGTTCAACTCTTAACCCCAAGCTTGAATTAAACCATTTATCATTAAAAGAAGAAGAAAAAAAACCTTACTTTGCCTCCTCTAGGAAAAGGTGTTGTTTTTCCAGAGCAGGTGTGAGCATCACAAAATTGGCGCAGAAATAATTCTTCAAGAGAGAATGCATCGGAAAATAAGAGATATTAGCAACAGTATGACTGTACTTTGTTTTACGAGAAGGATAAATGTCACTCCAATAGTATCAGCTTTTCAGTAAGAGAAAAAAAAATCCATTGAAATATACTTTGGGATATGAAAAGGCGTTTATATACCATGGAGGCGGCTGGCGGATGGACCCAGACTAATAGGAAAACAGCTATTGGCAAGACTCTGTTCAAATGAAAGCACAGATATAAATGAGCCAGAACACTGTAATTAACAAATCAAACAGTTACATTAATTAAAAACAACCTCACAAAGATGGTGATTCCTTGCAACAGCAGCAGGATTGCACTTGGCTTTTTGCAACTTGGAATTTATCACAAAATCACAATGCAATGCTCCACATAAATCAGCCAAGCACTTACTTTGACTCTGGATTCATCATTCAAGCATTATAAGCAATCTTAACATGAACCATAATTTGTTTATGAAGATTAGAGAGGTTCACACCCTATACTGAAAGAAGATTAACAAACAATTTACAATGGAATGAATTTATCAAAACAAATTATTGCTTTTCTATTCATTAAAATGGAGATTTACCCCCTTATATTTTCTTTGAAGTATAAGATAATAAAGAGGACTACCATAAATTGGAAAATAACATCCACACTGAAATCACAGAGTTAGAGAAAAGCAAGCATTTTATGATACATCACAACCAAAAAAGGACCTAATGTTCATCGCAAGAGAAGGAACAGGGGTCTACATACAACATTCAGAAGATTGTAATGCCTGTTGTCAAAATGCTGATCGAGAAATCTTTCAGCACGAAAGCTTTTCTTACAATATCCACACCGCCACTCGTTTACATCCAAATTAATCTTGTGCTGCTCCTGATCCCTAAAAAGATCATTGTCTGGATGAAGCCTACAGTCAGTTGAAATCTCATATCCTTCTTCTTCAACAAATGGCATCAAATACTACAGAATGAACATGAAGAACATTTTCATTAGCACCATGCAAAACAACTAAAACTAAAATGGTAATCCTTGTAAACCTAAAGAACACAATTTGCCCTTACATCCTCTATAATCTGCCAGGCTGCCCTACTTCTTTCTCTGGAACAATGCACTTCATGGGAATCATGTGGTTCCTGCTTAGGAGTCCTAAGCATAAGGATGATAATGACGATATTAGTCGCAAAAATTCCAGAAAGAAGACACTATAATTTTTAAGGCTAAAATATTAAGTAGTCGCAAACTTTGCTACTTTATTTAGATAATCCCCTATGTTTTTTATAACATCCAAATAAGCCCTTCAATTTTAATTTGCACCTAAATAAGCCCTTACCTAGATAAACTCTTAACATAAATCAACGGTTCATCTGAAATAAGGGCTAAATTAAGTAAAAAACAAAGGTTGGAGGCTTATTTAGGTAAAATAAAAGCATAGTAGTTTTCCCATTTTCAAATAAATTCCAGCACCCAAGATCACTAGTCATCACAAATAAAGCAACGGAGTAGAAGTCAACTCAAACTTCCATCTTCTCAACTCAAACAACTCCAAGCTTTATTTGCATTTAGGAAAAGAAATGAAGCCTAATATACAGTACATAGCTACCCCAATATGACAATAGAAACAACATTACCTTGCAGCAGAAGATTCTTCAAAGCTCTGCTGCATACAAACACAAGAGAAAACACAAAAGGTCAAGTTGGAAAAACGGTGCAGCTAAGCCTATTCTAATATTTTCATTTCAAGAAGACAAATGCAACATAAGCAAACAACACTGTGCCAAAACTATGCTTTGAGCTCCAGACTAGAGCATATACAGAAATAACTCATGCATATCTTCATTCAAAAACAATCCAACAACCAAAGACTCAAATTGAACTCAAAAACAATCCAGACCTGAAATGATTCAAATCCGAAATTGACTCCAACCTAGATCACCTAAACTTTTAAAATTCAAACCCAAAAACCAATTCTACCCTTCCAATTGAAAGGTCTAAATAATCTTGAATATATTTAGCTTCATACATTTGAAGAATTGAATCCTTCTATTATTAATATCCGAATATGAGCACTCATACTTTGAAGAGTACGAAGAGTTTGGATAACCTAAGCTATAAGGACGTACTAACCAAATTGGATTGAAGGAATTTAAGCGGAAACCGAGACGAGTATAGCAAAATGAAATGAAATCGAAATCCGCCATTAAACTACTGAGGCAATAAGATATTTGCAATTAAAAAGATAAATTAATAAACCTGGGATTTCGCGAACTGCAACAACAGAAATTGAAGGAGAAGAATTGAAGTTATTTCTTTGATTCTTCCCATATCCTTCTCGTCTTCTTCCTCTCTCGATCAGTTTCGTGGGATTTCAAGTGGGCCTGTTTTGTAGTTTCCTTTCATTTTAAAATGAAAAACCAAGGGTTAAAAAGGTGCTTCAACTATTTTGGACAAAAATCATTTAATTAATTATTTTATTAAACAATATAAATTAAATTAATTTTTTTGATAAAGTATGTAGATTGCATTGAATTAACCGGACGTCATTTAGAATAATATCATGTATATATATATATATATATATATATATATTCAAGATAATCATAAATTAAATTTATCGGTAAACGAGCACGAATCAAGTGATCTCAGTGATAAAAGAAATGATTGTTATTCTTAGAAGTTGTAAGTTCGAGCACCAACGACTGTAGATTATTTGAGCTTTCATTGTTAAATGATTAATAATCTTTAGAACAAATACTACCACTTGTAATCACCATATTTTAATAAAAAAAATATTGGTGAGCGATTAGTTACAACCTAATGAATAAGAGTGCAAATAGTTGAGGCAACAATATACAAAGACAAATCACTCTGACATCTACAAAAAGCAGACATAGAGGAGAAGAATCGACATATGCATCCAGAAGTCAACAAAATGTCGTATACAAATGAATGAGAAAACTATACATAAAAAAAAACAAACAACCAGAAAACCTCATAGAACCACATACCAAGAAAATCAATAGAAAAAACCCGCACACAAAACTCAAAAATATCGATAGCCATGATATATTTGATCAGAGAAAGAACGAAAAGAAAATATTATTATAAATGTATTAAAATAATAATTAAAAAAATATTAAAGTTAGACAACATCAGAATAAAAAATAGGGTAAATTACACAGGGGACCACCAAACTATAGTCAAAAATCATTTTGACCACCAACATTTCAATTTTATCAACCAAACCACTCAACTATTTAAATGTTTCAATCAAATCACCAGCAATTATTTTTTAACAGAGGTAGTGACGTGTCAGTTAATAAAATTGGCATAATTATATATTTTATTCTCAATATTTACACCTTCTATCAATTCATTCACCATTTTAATTAAATTAAATAACTTTAATATCCAATTAGATAGTAACATGTGTCATTAAATGATTGGAGGATTATTTTTAATTTTAGTTTATTTAATCTAATTTCAACCACCTATTTGAAAGAAAATAAGAAAAAATAATTATTGCAAAGCGGATTCGAACTAAAGCCAATAAGAATATGATCACAAGCATAAATCAATCAGCCAACTCCAATTCTTGGTATATGATTACAATAATTTTAATATATCCTGTTATTCTTAATGAGAAAAAAATGAAATAAAAATAAAAGGTCTCGAACTTAAAACTTTACCATTAGTCCAAACATATATTAAAAGCATAAATACAACATTGTAATGATACTTTACGAAAAAATAACTAAAATATGGATAACGTTGTTGTTTTTTAACAAAATGTTTAATCGACCGTTAACATCCAATAAGGGATGTAAGTTTTATTTAGAGTGGACATGTGTCCATCACGAGATTCGAATTTTTTTATATTAGTAGTTCATTTTACTGAAGATGTTCACCCTGAAATTTTATTTATGTTTATCACATACAAAAATTCTATGTCGTTAATATACATATACTCACCCTAAAAAATATTTCTAAATCCGTCACTGTTAACGTACCTTAATTGTATGACAGAAGTGTGATATAACAGTTAAGGAACTGATTTGGAATTCTTTGAATCTTTTTAGTTTAGCAAAATCAAATGCAAAAAGTAAAAAGATTATTGAATTTTAGGCTGAGGAAATAAATCAAATGTTGAGGGAAGGAAGATTGTAAATGGATGGGGTTCATGGGTAAACTACTAGCGGTGACAATTAATTAAAATTTATTAATTTAATAATAGATAGTTGAGATTATTTTTTAGTGGTTATTTTTTTATTTTTTACTGTCAATCTCAATTATATATTTTCATTCATCAAACGGTCCAAAATATATATAAAATTAAAATAACTTTATATTGTACAATAAGATCATATCCCAAAATTTCATATTGATAAATAGAAAATGTAAAGCCACAATCCATACTTTTTAATTTTAATATCTTTTATTTTATTTTGCTTCTACAATCATAAGAGATATTCAAACACAAAATAATAAATCCTTATATTAAAAAACTTTACTTCATTACAAAATATAATAGTCAACTTTAAATTTACGTGATTATTGTCGAAACGATTTTTAAACGGGGAGCGAGGTTTTGAAAATCTCGTCATTTTTAATTATCTTCTTTACGATTGAATTTTAATTAAAAACAATGTGATTTTAGAAAACCTCTCGTTTCGAAAATTTGGGAATTCATTCACGATAAGAACACAGGTTCGAAGAGTCGCCACCAATCCTTGATTAGGGTGTGATTGGACACACAAAAATTTTTTGTCATTTTAAATAAAAGTCAATTTTAATTAAAACAATAATTTAAAGTCTGCGTTACCAGAAAATGAGTTCGGGAGTCGGTTACGCGTGGGGAAGGATTAGCACCCCCACAACGCCCTAAATCGGTACCTCATCGATTAATTAATGTCTTTGCAATGAAATTTACAAATTCGAGTTTAATTTGGTTTATGATCCCCGACGAAACAACAACACATGAATTATTCAAAAGCACCAAAATAGATTAAATTAAAATTACCCAACCTTTAGAAAGATAAAGAATATTCGATTATTTACAAATAGCGAGACCAAATTTTAGATAAGTTATAACTATCTTTTCTCGATAAATTTAAATAATAGAATATTTCTTTTTCTTCCGTTCCCAAATTTTAAAAGTGATAAATCAATTTCTTAGGTGCCACTAATGGGATACAATTTTAATTTAGAATCATCAAAAGCGAATATCTAATAAGTTAAGGCAACACACTTAAAATAATTTTAAATTAAAAGGGTATTACCCTTAATCCAATTATGAATAATGTCGAGTGGTGCAAATGAGGATATCATGCAAAAACTAATTAAAATATGCTATGTGTCAACACACCTTTTTCGTCCTACTAGGATTCAAACTCTCAAAAATAGGATAGAATTCTGCTAGGATTCAACTCCTAAAAATAGGATAGAATTTTGCTATGTTTTAAACTCCTAAAGATAGGATCCACAAGCACTATAAATAGTCATTGTAGCTCACTATTGTAACAGACGATGTGCATACGAAATTACCAGAAAAAAAATACGAGCAAATAGATTGTTTTGAAGCTATTGTAAACAATTCAGGAGCAATAAAAGGTGAAAGCTTTTACCTTTCGCATTCTTTTCTTCACTTGCATGTGTTGTTATTCGTCTTTGTGCTTAAAAAAAATAATTTTGGCCGAGGAAAAGGGGTTGTCGTTCGAAACTTTTCTTTTAGATCTACACAACCCCGAGGCCGTTTTGGAAAAATACTAGAATATTTAAAACGAGGGAAGGAAAGGATTTTAAAAATCAATTTTTTTTCGAGGTTTGCCGCCGATGAACGGTCCCTTATGTATTATTTTCATATTTTTATTTATTTCTTTTTGATAATTCGTATTATTAAGTATATATATATATTAATTATTTTTATTCTAATATATTTTAATGTTTTTAAAGTTATTATATATATTTATAACTATTATTATTATTATTTTACTATTAACGTATATAAATATATTTTTCTCTTTTGCTACTATTATCATTATGTATATTTTTTATTGTATTTTATTTTTATTTTTACTTTTTTAAACATATGTATATATACATTTAATTATTTTTTATATTTTATACTTCTTTATTTTTTTGTTTTCATGTATTTATATTATATTACATTATTATTTTACTTTATTAAATTATTATTTTTTGTTATAATATTTATTATATATATATATATATTATATCATAATGTTTTTTTTTGTTTATTCATTCTTACTATATTATAGAGATACATCACACTCATTTATTAACTACGGTCCCACCCCTTATCGTCTTTTTCCTTCCCGACAGTTATACTTCACCAAACCTTGACTTTTTTTTTTTACTTTTTTGGTGTGATTGCGTTTTTTATTTTACTACTTATTATCATTATTATTATTTTGCACTTAATAATTATATGTTTTTTATTCCTCTTTTAGTTTTTCATCATTTTTTTTTATTTTTTTTCCTTCTATTTTCTTTATTTCATTTACTCTTATTTCCTTTTCCTTTAACGCGTTTCTCGACTTTTTAAGGGTACTCTTTCAAATTGATCGGAGGTAAGTAATTTTGGATCATATGTTACCTTTAAATTTTAACTTTCGATTTTCTTAATTAAAAACAACTGGAAATTACGTAGTACCGAAAGGGCGGTTCAAGGGTGCTAATCCTTCCTTGACCGTAACCGACTCCCGAATCCGACATATCTTTGGTAAGACGCAGATCAGGTAAAATATAAGGTATCCGATTAACCTATTTATTTTTTTAAATAAATAATCGGTGGCGACTCCAATCACATTTTTCAAGTCGAAGCCCAATTCTGGGGCCCAACCGAAAGACGGTTACGACAGCTTGGCGACTCCGCTGGGGACACATGTAAGTGAGTCAGGCTAAGGTAATTTCCAGTTGTCTTTTTAACGAAAAGGGTAAGTTTAAATTTTAAGGTAACCTTTCGATCCTTATTGCTTACTTTTGATTATATTTTTTTCGAGTAAATAGTTGTACTAACCGTTTTCTCAATGATTTCAGCCCTTAAAGTCTTTTTTCATCTAAAGCTCTAAACCCGAGCTCTGAACCCATTTTAAATGGGGGTGAAAGCGACGCATTCATGTGAATTTATTCACCGCATATGCCTAGCAAGTAGCCTTCGGGATTCATATACCTTAAGTCTTCGTGTGAATTTATTCTCCGCATAGACATAAGGGAATGTGTCCTCTCGAGTTTAACTTAGTCCACACAAGCTTGTAATAGGCTTAGGACTAAGGGTCTGGCAAGCCCAAGGGGCACCAGCAATGAGAACTCGGGTACCATTTTTTTAGAACCTAAACCGGGAGACGATGG